CTTCTTTCGACGAATTTTCTAATATATTCTCTGTTGCTTCAGTTTAGCCGATAAATTAATGGAATTTTTGTATGTATTTTAAGCTAAAGCTTCGAATTCCACTGTGTCTGGAATTCATGGCAAAATTCCAACACCAAATAAACTTCGTTACGGAACACAGAAGCTGTGTAGGGCGTCGGAGATAGGGTATTACCGCACGAGCAAAATTCTTGATACAAAACACTAGACCCTTAAAATGTGAGCCGTGTAGTTTGCTTGTTATGATTAAGTTTTTATCTGTTAAAATCAGAGGCTAATTTGCCACACTCGGAAATTCCAGAAAGTCGCAAGGTTTTTTTTTTTTTTTTTTTTTTTGCTAATTCGGTTGTAAATTTTAACCCAGGGATGAGAGAACAGGAAACAGTTTTCTACGGAATTTCATTACGAAAGGCCCGATGGTCGTAACACCCAGTCTAGGAAGAGTAATATAATTAGTAATTAATTGATGTGCATAATTTCATACCACTAACAATACCGTGGACTGTGATGTTTCTGAGGTGGATATAGAGCCAGAGACACGTAATTCATGATGATGAAACGTGGTATTCTAAAAGAAATACACAATTGATAGCAAAGTAATAGAGTGAACGAAGTGAATTTTGTTAAGTGATAGTTTCCAAGAAAAATTTCTGTAAAGAATAACAAAAATTTCGGTGAAATGGAACCTGTGTTTGCTATTAGTACATTCATTCCGTACCTTCTACTTGTCATTAAGAAATTCCTTTTCTTTACTTTAAACATGTTTAAAATCAATGGCGACCGTTTAATTACTACAGTTAACCCTTTGAAGCCGAAGATCGTCTGAATATTATTTATGAATTCAGTCCGTACCGCGAAGAAAACACTACACCTCACCATTACGAAAATCAGCTGGTTAACCCTTTGAAGCCGAAGCTCGTCTTCATAATATTTACGAATCCAGACCGTACCGCGAAGAAAACACTTCACTTAACCATTAGAAGTCGAATCAGGCGGTACCACATAACATAAGAACATCCCGGTCGAAGCCTTAATGAATAAGATAACTGATATACAGGTGTGTGCATTGAGTTGCATTTATCTCTGGCTTTTAGTTTAAGGATGTTGTAATAGAACAAATTCATATCAATTAATTATTGGCAATAAATCGATCTTGACGTTGAATTGGCTCAAAGAGCACGTCAGCACGTTCAGTGCTTGTCACAATAGCACGTAGCACGTCTTCGGACATGATGTGGTGGGCGATTTTGCAAGTTCTGTGTGTTACGACGTACATGGCTGCTTGACGTGACAAGGGTCTTCCCTGGGGGTTGGCCGTCGTGACTACGGGTTGAGTAGGCCTATGCAAGACGCAAGAACGCGAAAGTAAGTATCCCGACCACGAGCCTGGATGAATATAGAAAATGCATGTTTTGTGAACCAACCGAGGAAGTTCTCGAGATGAAAAGGCAGGGCTTTCAAAGCACGTGCAAGTACGCACGCATATTTTATTACAACTTTTTGTTGATGTTAAGTAAATATAACTTAAGATTATTATTGACTGCGGTAGGTAGGTAGTAGGTAAGTAGATGGGTGGATAATTTGATTTATTGATTGATTGATTTATTGCTGGAAAGAAAGTAAGTAAGAAGGGAAATAATTAGACCTAATTTGTAAAGAAATGAAGGAGGGAGGGAATGAGGAAAACAATGTTGTATTTGTGTAAAGTGTTTTGTTCTGATTAGGCGTGTCGAGGGACATATATATTGTGATGGAGATGATAATCTTCTGGAATTTTGCACCTTAGAGTAATTTACCTAGAGACTTCGGTCTTCGTACTGAAATCTCACGCGTCTAGCGACATTTGACTGCTCTGAGATACAGAAATCTGTGTCTTCTTAAATTGTAGGTCATAATATTTATCGCTCTTGTCTGTACTCACCCGAAATCCCGTCGTACGTCCACCACTCCGCCCAGCTGGCCCGGATTTCTGAAATAAAGTAGAATATCCAGATTATGAAAAAAATGATTTACGTCATCGACATGAGAATGGGAATGAACGATGGTTTTTTTTTCTGATTTAGATGATTACATGCGATTAGTGTTAGATATGACCTCGTGTAACCTGGCAGCTAAAAGATGAATTATTTGAAACCAGGAGCTTCGTACGCTGTACTCCTCGCCAAATATAATTAAACTTATAAAGTCAAGGAGTATGTGATGGGCAGGGCATTTAGCACGCATGGGATAGAATAGAAATGCGTACAGGGTTTTGGTGGGCAAGCCAGAAGGAAAGACGCCATTAGGAAGATCACTTATATGTATCATTGCTGAGGTCTTGGGTCTGAAATGCGTGAAGTTTTACTCCCACGTCTCCTACACGTCTTTATAAGGCGGTTATTAAGTACAAGGACAGATTTTTATTCTATTGCACTTTAACAAATGAATACCGAGTACTCCTTTAGAATACTGACGGTGTGATGAAATCACTTTGATGAGACCTGGTTTAAGAAAGAGGAGATACAGCGAAACAGGATCTTTTGTGGCTTGTACAAGGCTCATAATACACCCCCCCCCCCGCCCCAAACCCTCAACAAAATAAGCATAATAAGACCTGTGACACCTTAAAGAAAGTAAAATACTGCTACTCCTTCTTTGCGCATGCGTCATGAATTTCATAGAGTTTATTGAGGTTATGTTCTAACCTTCTGTGCACCAGACAGACTCCACCCTAAACAATAGCGGCGTGGATTCATTCCATCTCATTTCCTACACAGAATTGTCATCCCAGCTTTTAATATTTGAAATTTATTCCCCATGTACTTCGTCGTTCTTTTCCTTCTTCGTCGCTGTTTCTCTACGCTCTTCTGTCTCTTTCAAGTGGCCCCATAAAACAGAGAATATAACACGACAAAGCCGAGCTTATTTCACTTGGAGAAAAATACAAGTTTCCATGTGGATATATTATCATAATCTTCTCTCTGACTGTGAAGAAAGTAAAGGCACTGAATGTACAGTCGTGGGCCAAAGAAAAGTCTCCATCACGTGGGATAGAACAGCAAGAGTTCATTACGTTTCTGAACAAGACTGGAATGGAGTTAGAATATACATTTCATATACGTATTTGTTGCTGTTTGCGTAAGATATTAGACTTTATGTCCATTCCTTGCTAAATTGTCGCGTTGCAAACATTGAAAATATACTTCCTTGTATTTTGTTAAATATCGGTTATATTAAAAAACATTTCAGATTTAAGTGTTTGATTTCCGTGAGCTTACTTTATAAAACACAGTTTTACCAGACGAGTCATTTAAAAATACAGCTTGTAAACTTCAGCCTTGCACATTTGGGGCTTATAATTACTTTGTATACACAAATTTGATTTTCGTAGACACCGAATTTTATTGAAATCCGCCCAGTAATTTTGGCAATGAAATCGTCCAAACCATAAAACAGTCGTAAAATATGCTTCATGTTTTAATATACATTAATTAGCGTACTTATTTGGTGGTTCTTAAAAAAATTTGCCAACTGTTCCGGTCTCATATCGAGGACATTGGTTCACTGGATAATCCATATTGGCTTTCAATTTCGAAAGTCGCAATGAAACGTATTTTTCTTTGAATAGTTTCGACTTCCCCCCACCCCCCGATAACTGTCGTTCCAAAATGCTTCATACACCCCCATGAGTACGAGCTCCCCTAAAATGCGAGACAGGTCTAAACAGCCAGGGTACATTCGTCTGACCTGGAACCTGGCTGAACTCAAAAGTAAAGAAGTTTCAGTTTAGGGTTTGACTCCACCACAGAGTATAAATTTATCGTTAAAACTGAAAGGGGGGTGTGGCTCGTAAACAAGGCAAGACAAACTTGATTAATTGTTTATGTATTCCGAGAACTTCTGACTTCATCTGAATAACGACTAGGAATTATTCTGTTTTTTTTTTTAGTGGAACAGTATCTGAGTGTAAGGTTTAAAACTTCATTTAAGTGCTTAAAAATCTCGTCTATACAAACACTGAACAGAGAAAGTTATATGCGGTACACTTCAATACCCGTATTGCACTTTACTATGGGACATTCCACATTCTCTCTCTTTACGTAAACATGGTTTTATTTTAGAATGATAAAATAACTTATGAAACAAACATACTACTGCACATAGCTGTCTTCTGGGATGTTGTGACATTTCAGAGGTGTTTAAAGCCTCCATCATCAGGGCGACTGCTAGATTACACGGCGGAACAGCCCAGAAAATAATGATCTCGTCGCCGCGAGAGCCTAAAGTTTCACTAACTTACTGTTGATAAGGACCAGAGTTAAAAATTGTCCTGACAGCTTCAAAAGTATCGTAATCATGACCAGTTTTATTCCGAATGTTTTTAGGACCGATTATAGTTAGGAGGTTACACACTAATGCAGTCCACCGTATAGAACTCGGTAGACTAGTGTCAGATTTTAAACAAATCTGTAATGTGTTAATAACTTTTATTTTGTGGTCGTTAGGAGACTCTTCCAAAAGCATCCTAAAGTTATTTTGCCTTTGGTTTTGTACAGTGTCCTTATCTCTTCATGCGAGTTATGTCAATCTGCTGAAAGACACAGTATTCAAGTACGAATATTCGTAATTTTCGACAAAGACAATTCTTTTCAGTTCCGAACAGCATTAAATCCAAATTGCTTTTTTGGGAAACTTTTGTGTTTTGTCCCTTCCCACAAGATCCTCCGACCGTCGGCCAATGTACAACTTTCAGCTAACTTTCAGATAACCCATCGTTGTCATAATTCAAAGACAGCAACTGTTTAAAAAAGTTACGTTCGATGACAGTTTTGTGCGTGGGGAAAATGGGAATGGAATTGAAGATTAGTTCTGAGTTTCGGCACATCTTTGAAAGGCGTGATTCTTCTCAGAAACTTTTTCATTGTATGGACCACTTCTTATCTCGAAGAATGCCTGTGGAAGTTAGGCTGGGTGGAGAATGCTTTCAGTTTTAAATCTGTATATCCAACAAGAATTGTCGTACAAATTAAGATACTTTTCCGGTCCACAACGAGAAACATTTCTTTCAAATATTACACTCATTATTTGTGGCAGTTTTAATATGTCGGATTAGTTCGTCCAGAAGAAAATAATGTTAATTTAGTTTTGAAATCAAATATTTGTGTAATATATTTCTTATTTCCGTCTATACACAAAACTTAGTTGTTAAAATTGGTGTTATTAAAGTTAAAATTTAGTATCGAAACATGTTGTGAAATAAAATAATGAGCGCTAAAATTGTAACATCGTAATAGCGATGAAGAGCGCCAAATTTTAAGTTTTTTAAATTTTAACTTTAATAACACCAATTTTAACAACTAAGTTTTGTGTATAGACGGAAATAAGAAATATATTACTGAGTTAAACACAAACATGACGCAATTAAACTACAAAATATTTGTGTGTTATACACGACGACATAAGTTGCTTAGAAACATAAGCACTTAAATTATCAATTTATTGCATTAAACATTTGACAAGATCTGAGTTTTAATAGTAACACGTACTGTATATGCCCAAGTATTAAACGAAACAAATATATCTAAATATTTGTAATAGTTCTGCGTAAAATTATAAACTGTGGTTTCGAAAGCCACATTGATAAAAGCCTGGTAAGGCTTTATGATCCAGTTGAAATAATATGTAAGACTTGAGGTTCTCACAGCGGTGAGTATGAAGATTTCTGTCTTCTGGGTTATATGCTTGTAACAATACAAAAACGAACAAATTTTGTATGAGAAGCAGGACTCGAACTGACAAGCTAATTATCAACAATAAATCCAATAAACAGTCTGTGGGTGTCTAGCCTTTACTTTGGTACGATTATCCTAATTGAATGTCCCTCCAACTTCATGGTATAATATTTACCGTGAAACAAACACTGATTATGAATCCCTCGATATTATTTACCACTTAATTAAACTTGACGTAATGTAGTGGCTTTAAAGTAAGCCACTGTATAAAGGTTCCAAAGGTAATTAAACTTAATGTCATTGCTTCTAAGCCTGCATACTCAATGGCACGAATTCTACCAAAATCATGTCCGCTAATTTACATTTAACTCAGATTGAGGTTAAGGAATTTTTCATCGTTATGTGGTTAATAAATATTCTTTTTGCACAAAGTCACCTTTGATATTTCTTGTAACAGGCCTGTAGGCCAAAGGATTTATGGTAAAGTAATTATTAAGTAACTTTATTGTACCGAATCTGACTTAGCTGATGATGGTAAGTTGACTGCTATTATGGAACCAAAAATGTCACATCCATGTTGGCGATAAGATGGTTTTGGGTCCTGTTATGAGGCAGCTGATTGCAGGGAACTCCACGTCTTAATTATCGACTCCCTGCACCGTTACGACTTTTCTGCTATCGAGATCTGTGTCTGTAACATGATCTCGTCTCATGGGTATTCCGACAAAAAATGTTTCGTACATTTCTTATTTTGTACTTGCGTGAAACATTCCATACATTTCATTGTCCAGACTTAAGTCACATAACAGTTTTAGGCTTAAATGATTACACAGCTTTGCATTTTCGTAGTTTCCTCCACTCCTTTCGAGATGAAGCTCCATAATAAAGTTAAAGATACAATTTTATAAGGTCCAGCATTCGACAGTGAAATGACGTATACACTGGCGCCATATTGCCAGCAGTAGGTTTTCGTGTTTCAGTAACACGAGCGAAGAGTGTTTGAAAACGTAAGAACATCGCCCTTTTTACTGGGGGTTTTAAGATTTGCTTTTATATCCTGCGAGAGTGAAAAGCTGATAAGGCTGGCTGTTAAGTACGAGTATTATTAAGGCACCTTTACTACACACGGTATGGTCTCCCGTAAATTTCTCGCTTTTTCCAAGTTCATTCTCATTTCAAAGACACGCATTAATCAAGACGTTAGATTCTGAATGAAAGGGTAAGAACGTTCCCAAGGGCTGTGCAGCTGTCTTACGAT